TAAATTTGTACTCAAAATACCCCAAAACCCCAAAACCCCTTTACTTTGAAATGTAGTAAAGTTGTTAACAATTAAATTCTTTGATTATTCATAATTATTCAATATTATATCAAGTAGTAATTATTTGCTGCTTTGTAGTCGTTAAAATTTGTACTATTTAAAAATCTCAGAACCTATCTCGTTACTCTCAAATATTTCTCAGGATATATTGACTGAGGTTAAGGTTGCCGAGATTAAAGTTAAGGTTCGAAAATATAGATTCATTTTCACTATTATTGCTATTGCTGTTAGCCTAATCGTTATTCAAATGGTCCTTGAATGTAGAGTAAATTAATCTCTACAAGTCATTCATTGAAATACCTCCTTCTCTTATAAATCTAGCTTAGTTTTGTCTCAATAACTCAGGACATATATCTTTGACTAAGCGAACAAGGTGATCATATCTTGCTTTCAACTTATGATAATTCTCCTCATATCTAGATTTTTCTTCTAGTTATTTATCTTTTAGTAGAAGCTGCCTCTTAAGGTCTTCTATCTCCTCAATATATCTATTTTCATTCTCCTAATAAATCTAATACTAGTTTGCTTGCTTCTTTAAATTTGTTTCATAATTATCCTTAAGGTTAGCAACTTCAGTCATCTCTGAAATTAACTTTTGTGATTGCAGTTCAGTACGCTTTATCTAAGCTTTGAGTAAGCTTGTCATCAGAGATTGGTTGGTTTTATTCAAATTTGAATCCATCAAAAAGTTTGAAGTATCGACTTTATTGTCATTTGTATTGCACAAGATATCTTAATGATTTCTTGTATTTTACTTATGAGCAATAAGCGATTAAAAGAGTTTCTAATGTGTATTGGAATGCTATGGACTCCTTCTCTACTAAATTTGCTTCGTACTTGTCTAGTAATTCTAAAGATTTGTTATGTGGTTCTGGCTCAAAGAACTTTAAGCATTGTTAGGTCTATTTGTGGATTTGAAAGCAGTCTAATCTATCTAACTTGACTAGAGTACGTTTAATTCTATTATAGATCCGGATGTGGTATAATCATGCTGATAAGCTCTGTATGTAGGTGTAACAACAGAGCAAGAAGAGGGGGGTTGATACTTAGCAGGCATCGATCTCTCTTGCTTGTGCCTTATTGAAGGCTAAAATTCCTTATTATCAAAAGTAGCAGTTGCCATAAATGTAGCACCTTGTGTTTCATTACTTTGAACACCCTGGAATGTGCTGGCATTATGAAGCTTTATACTATTCGTGTAATTAACACTATTTTTCTTCTATGGTATTAATGAAAGCACGTTCCTTTTTTCTTGGAACACTATAGAGGGATGAGGAGGTTTCTTTTCCTCCTCTAGTTCCTCATAAGTCATTCTCTGATCTTTGATTGATATTTCTCTGTTTAATCTTTCAGAGAAGCAATCATTATACTAGTCTTACTCCGACATTTCGAATTCCTTGCTCTCTTAAATATTTTGAATCATCTTTCTTTGCTCCTTACGATCGAGAGTACTAATTGAAGAAGGAAATGTTATATTATCATGCTATTTGTTTTGAATCGTTTAGCCAATTTAGCCATTAATGGTGAATGAGTGATTCTCTTGAGTTGATTCTCTGTACTTGCCAAACATCTTGCTATCTTATTTTTCAGTAAGAGCTGAGTCTTGTTTGTGTAAGGCATGAAGTGGTGATAGAAAGGCAATGTTATTTATTGCATTATTCTTGATTATCTTAGCATTCTTCCTCTCATTTCTATTTGTTAAACAGCCATTTTAAGTGTATTAGCCAAGAATATTCAAATCATTTTCAAGCTCTGCAGTCATTTGCAGTGGATTTTGTATACTCAATTCTGATTGCTTTTTTGAAACTCCTTTTTGAGTTTTATTCATAAATTTCTTCTCTTGATATACAAAGCTAGCTTTTTAGGTGCTTATTTTATTATAATTTATATTATTATCAACTGTCCTTAGTTATTCCTCTGGTGAGATGAGTCTAGTCTCTCTTTCCTAAATTATATGAATTTCTTATTAGCTTCTTTACTGCCTTCTAAGATCCAATATATTTTCTTTACCCTGTATAAAATTAAATTTGTTTTGAGGTGATTTAGTCAGTTCAATTAGTTTCTAGTGGTTTTTATTTTGGAATCTCGGGAAATCTATTATTCCTGAGTGATTTCTCGCACCACTTACTTGGAGTTTCGACATATTGTAAAGTCTTATTGAACTCGCTTAGTTTAAATCTTTGTTTTAAGAGAGATATGAATGTTTGAACATTTTTTAATCTAAATGCTTGACAGCTGAAGGACTTTATTCACTCATACCAAATAAGCTCTTGCTGTCACCATCTGATGGTTAGAACTACATTTTGAAATTTTAAAATCTACTTTCATGATGAGTTAGTTCTGTATCTTCCTGGACACTTAACTTTCTTGAGCATCTAACGGGACTTTGCTTATTGTAATTTTTTAGATTCTGGTTACTTCTAGATTTGAAACAGAAATTTCTAGTCTTGATTTCATTGAATTAAATGTTATTATTCTTCATGATATCACTTTCGTTAAGAATAACAGAGTTGTTCTCGGTAACGTATTCTTCTGCATTATTGCTTTAATATTTGTCAGACTCCTCTTAACACTGCTAAAGGGATAAGGAAAAATCTTCTTTGCTATTTTATTCTTAGCTAAAAACATTATTAGGTCTCAGTTCATTCAATAGTCTATCTAATTTTGGTTTGAGAAAGCCTTGCTGGCGTAATTCTAGGCAAACTTGTTTGAAATTTAGTTTTAATTGCTTAGACTTTGTTATGTAATTTTCCCTTTGACTTAGTTGTTCAGCTGGAGTATGCTGATGCATAAAGCAGGTCTGATGCTGAATAAAGTGTACAAACTTCTTGATAACATTAAAGTCTTAATGAATCATTGCAAATATTTTGTTCTTTTTTAGAGTCAATTTAAGTTTGAATTGATATTAATTAGGAAGTATACTGTTTGATTAAGTAATGGAAAGATTCATAGCTTTTACAGATGCCAAAGGTATTTTAGTTTACATCCCGCTAGTCTTAATTCTACTAAAATACAAGTCTTGGGCTTTGAGTTATTAATTCACTATTTCAGCTCTTTTTGTATACAAACAGAATTTTTCATACCTTCCCTTCTTTTTAAGAGGGAATTATATCATCATATAATGCCCTGTTCTAACAGACAACTCTGCATCGTTATTTGATCTGGTAATTAGTGTTTTGCTATATTAATGTTTATTCACTTAAATATTACTATTCCTGAATAGTTTGCTGAAAATCTAGAGGACATATTGAAAATCTACTAACATCTTACTAATTCTTTTGTTGTTCTGATAAAACTTTAAAAAAGAGCACAAATTAATGTGGCTTTGGCTATTACAGTGTAATCTCTCCGTTTTGCTCGTTATAGTTTGCTTGCATTTTGTCGTTTATTAGATAGCTTTCGATGTTTCTGAAATCCTATAGCCATATTAATAAGATCTAAAGTATACCTGATGATCGATTATTTTAATGTGGTCTTTAAATATCTTAAACTAAACTAACTTTTTCTGGTTTTCAGCGTAAAAGATAAAATCATGATTTCTGTAATTCACAGAGTTTTGTTGCTGAGGTAGTAGTCGTCTCATTGGAGTGTTTGAAGTCTCTATGGAATGAAAACTTGTATGTTGAAGTGTCTATTACCCGCTGTCTAACGGTCTTTTAGCCATATTGATAAATAGAGTTTAAATTTAAATATAAACGATTCGAAATCAATCAACTAGTTACTCTGTTTCCTCTAATTTTCAGAATTTTATCAATATGGGGTTTTGGGGTTTTGGGGTTTTGGGG